TTTGGCACGAGCAATCAGTGTCCTTTTGTTTGTTCCGACGCGTCGGATCGAATCTTTTTTTCCTTTTGTTGCAGTGTTTGCAAATTTTACCTAGTCGCATTCTTTTTCGGTCATTCCGTTGATCCACATCTGTATCTACACGTCCAGTTTAGAAAATCTATTTTCTATTATAATATTACAAGCTACCTCGGGGGGCTCGTCCATTTTTTCGCCTGACTCCAGGCCTTGAGGAAATAGTATACAAACTTACCAGATACTGTAGAATATATACATAAATGAATAAACAAAACAATTAAATTAAACTACTACATACAAATATATACAAACTGATCTTTTATACAAGTTAAATCAAATTTAAAATTTCACAAGAAAAGACACTCCCGCCACGACCAACGTTTCCCGCGCTTTAAGAAGATACTAGATATAGGTCTACCAGGATCTGATGGCAAAAAGGGAAAAAAGAAATTGACGCTAGCAATACCGGGGAAATTGGAGTAAAACGTTTTGATACTTTATTTCCCTTATATCGGCTGATTGTGTGTGATACATGCAAATATAAAAATTTATCCAATGATCAAGGATAATATTTGAAAATTTTACTATGGCGAATGTAGGGTTTGAAATTTAGATGAAAACTCCAATTACTCCGTTCATGAGTTTATTCATTAATTATAGGCTATTAGAACTGAACTAGAAATGGTTCCAAATTCTGGACATCCATAAAAAAGTCTTTATATGAAGGAGAACCTGGAACCCAGATGGGCTATTGCCTAATCTAGAAGAAGTAGAAGTACTACTACACACACACAACATAGACATATTATTAGTGTCTGAATCTCACCTTACAGAAAATAACAGAGTCACATTACGTAATTTTAATATTTATGCTACAAACCATCCCGACGGAACTGCACATGCGGGAGCAGCTATAATTATAAGATCAAATATCAAACATTATGAACAACCACAGTTTCAGAAACCCTACATACAAGCTACAACGGTTGCAGTTATAGATAGAAACGGTACGTTTAATGTATCCGCCATCTATTGCCCCCCCAAGCACACTATAAAAGAAGAACATTTTGAAGAGCTTTTTATATCACTGGGGCAGCGATTCATAGCAGGAGGTGATTGGAATGCCAAGCATGTTCATTGGGCCTCTAGGCTAACGACAACAAGAGGCAGAGAGCTTAAGAAAAGTATAGATAACCACAATCTCACAGTGATTTCAACGACGGACCCGACCAACTGGTCGACTGACTCAAACAGGCTTCCGGACGTCATAGACTTCTTCGTCATGAAAGGCCTGTCTAGACTTTCTTACCAAATACAAACTTGTTTAGACTCGAGTACAAACCATGTTCCAGTTATATTGACTATTGGAATTACTGCTTTGAGCAAAGAACACAACCTTAAATTGTACAATAAACGAACTAATTGGAACTCATATCGAGAACTGGTCCATGACAGACTAGACCTAAAAGTTGCCTTAAAAAGTGAAGCAGACATTGATCACGCAACTCGGTTACTAACCGAAGTGATCCAAGAAAGCTGCTGGATGTCCACGCCCGAACTCACTGCTCGTCCGCCACAGAGTAAGACCTACTCGGACACCATACGACAAAAAATATTAGAAAAACGAAGGCTACGTCGAATATGGCACACTAGTAGACTGACATATGACAAAACGGCGCTTAATAAAGCGATACGTGATTTAAAATCCCTAATATCCGAAGCTAACGAAGCAGCCTTGAGTAAACACCTGGAAGGATTGACATCAACAAAAGCAACCGATTACTCGCTTTGGAGAGCCTGCAAAAACCTAGCTCGACCACTACACCAAAAGCCACCACTACGAACGCAGAACGGGCAGTGGATAAGAACGGAACAAGAAAAAGCTGAAGTTTTTGCTAATCATCTTAGTCATGTATTCAAACCGAATGACCCCAGTCCTAATGTAGATGAATCGGATATCGAACTAATCATTGACCAAGACCTGCAACTTGATCTACCATTAAAACTAGTGACACCACGGGAAATTAATCGCAACATCAAATCAATGGACAATAATAAAGCACCGGGCTATGACTTAATAGACAAAAAGGTACTCGAAGAATCACCACGCAAAGTGATAGTGTACCTTACAATGCTATTTAATGCAATCCTAAGAGCTGGGTATTACCCAGACTTATGGAAGGTATCACAAGTGACTATGATCCACAAACCTGGAAAACCTATTCACGAAATCACATCATATAGACCCATTAGTCTGCTGCCTATTATGTCCAAATTATTTGAGAAAACCCTACTACACAGAATGCTGGACATAATAAAAGAAAAGCATATCATACCAGATCATCAGTTTGGCTTTAGGCAAGAACATGCCAAGAAACTCCCTCGAGAGGAGAGAATACTGCTCATCTGTATTTCTTGACGTACAACAAGCCTTTGACAAAGTGTGGCATAAGGGTCTTTTGTTTAAAATTAAATCCTTATTGCCACACACATTCTATAGGATCCTACAATCATACTTGTCTAACAGAATATTTCAAGTTAAAGAAGGTGCCAGCACATCCGGTTTTTACGAAATTTGCGCAGGTGTGCCACAGGGCTCAGTCCTCGGACCCGTCCTGTACACACTGTATACACACGACCTACCACAGAGCCCAGAGATTACTATCGCCACCTTCGCTGATGACACGGCTCTACTTACCTCCAACAGAAGTCCCATTCTGGCCTCTAAAATCTTACAAAATGGCTTAAATAAAGTAGAAGGCTGGTTGGCCAAATGGAGAATTGCAGTTAGTGTGTCCAAATCGGTGCACGTCACCTTCACGCTCCGAAAGGAAGACTGCCCCCCGTCACTCTAAATGGCACCCAATTACCACATCAAAATACAGTCAAATATTTAGGAATGCATTTAGACCGCAGACTCACCTGGAAAAAACATATTCAAACAAAGCGAGACGAAATTAATCACAAATACAAGGGTCTCTACTGGCTAATGGGACGAAATTCAAAACTATCCACTGACAATAAGTTGCTTTTGTACAAAACCATTCTCAAACCCATATGGACATACGGAATACAGCTTTGGGGATCTGCTAGTGCCTCAAATATAATAATAATACAAAGAGCTCAAAATTACATACTCAAGCAAATATCAAACACCCCATGGTTTCTCAAAACTACAGAAGTCCATGAATTTCTTAATATGCCCATGGTAAAAGAGGAAATAATCACACATGGGTATAACTACAAACTAAGACTTCAAAAGCACCCCAATCAGCTAGCAGGACAGCTAACTATACCAGAAACTACTCGACGACTAAAAAAGCGGCGAGACATTTTTGACCAGGACAACCCAACAGACTGAGTTTAAATAAGAATAGGCAGGCTCCGCTGGGAGTAGCGCCTAACACGTCAATAAGCTCTCAACGTATCTACTTATAGTCGCAAAGACTGATTGTATGATTAATAATAATAAAAAAAAAAAAAAATATGAAGGAGAAGACGCAGTATTTAATATAAACCTATCCTCCTGCATCTCAATTAACTGATCTTGTTCTATGAACTGATTTTCAATTTTTATTACATGTTCACAAGATTTTCGCCATTCATCGATCCCTACTTGAGAGTAAGCTTCTTAAATCATTTCTCTGTTAATAGTTTTATATCACTTGCAGGTCTATTGACGTTTTTACCCGCAAGTTTTTGTTTCATTAGTCCCCAGATTAATTCTATGGGGTTTAACGTACAATGTTATGGTGGGAGCCTCAAAACTTCGTGGCCGTGTGATTTAAAAATCTCATCTATCTGATATTTAGTTTTTTTTTCAATTCGAAATCAAATCTATCCAAGTTTTTTTTTTTGCCACCTTTCCTGTTTTTACCGGGCGTACTAAATACGCCCTTATTAGATCAGCCTTCGGCAACAATTCATCTTAAGGTAGTATTAGAAACCCCTGAAATAAACCAAAGTTTATATAAGTACATAATATAATACACACGAAAATCCAATAAACCAAAGTATCAAGACGTGTCATTCCTACTAACCACTCAATGTGCAAGTGACATGGGCTCAATATCGATGATTGTGTATGTTCTGCACCTTGTTGATCAAGTATTCTTTGATAAACATTGAAAACAATATTTCTTGCTTGCGATCGACATTTTCACCACTTTTTAAAGTAAATTTGAAGCCAAACCAAAAACAATTCCTCGAAATTTCAGATGACAGATGAAATTTTTTTTTGTTGCCACATGCAAATCGCTAAGTTTTAAACTTTTTTTTGCCATCAGATTCTGGTAGACCTATAGATATTCACATTTCACATTAGTAGATATCAGATAAGTCATTGTCTAATCACAAATACAAAACGTCATTTGTGTTACATTGTCGGTTTTATTTGACAAATCTGTCAAACGAGGCTTTTAAGTAAACCACTATTTTTTGCTACACATAGGAAATTTAATCATGCTCTAGATTATTAGTGGTAAATTATATACTTAATAGTCATAACTCACAAAGTGTCACAGTAATGGAAAGTTCAAAATTAAACCAAATTTTTTCAAATAATTGTTTTAACAATATCACATTTTTTAAACTTAGTGACAATTTTTGATGCTTGCTAGTTTACTTATTATTATCGTTATCTTATTTTAGTTCTTTAGTACGATTTCGGTTAAATTTCATATAAATATAAAATATATTATATCAAAAGCAAATAAAGCTCATTAGCTTTAAACACATCCCACAGTTATTTAGTTGTAGTCATTGACTAGTAACTAGCAAGACTAAAATTATAATGTCAATTGTCAAGGTTCTATTTCAGCTTTAAAACAACATGGCGGGCAGTGTCATTTTGATATCGTCGCGAATCTAACGTGAAATAATGATTTTTGTTGTTCTGGAATATGGGTGATTAAGTGAAATATTTTATAATAGATTCATGTGAAAAGTGTTGTGTTTTGTATTTTCTGTGCAAAAAGAGTGTCAAAATGGCCTCGGATAAGATTAAAGTTGCTGTGCGAGTTCGTCCTTTTAACAGGCGAGGTAAGCTGGTCTCGTACAGTATCTACATAATAAATAAAAAATACACGAAGTTACAGGTGACTACGTAAGCCTTCTTTATCTGCGTATCAATTCGTGGTGCGAACAATTTTGATTAGCTTGCTTATTTCTTTGTGCACATTGTTTTTATTTTAACTGGCCTTAATATGGTGCTTACAAATAAATAAAGTAACAGTATTATATAAAGTGCATTTTTATTTTCAATCAACGATAGACCTAGAGTATAGATTTACTTAAAATTTATAAAGATAAGATATGTTGTTTTGTAGCAAGCTGAATATATGTATTATGTACTGCTAAATCAAAATAGACTTTAGTTCTTTGTTAAATTACATATAATTAATTATAGAAACTTTTTTTTGTATATTTTGCTATTATTGTATATGGATATAGACAAACAATTAGCAATGTAAAAAGGTTTGTCTTATCATATATTGCTTGTTTATGGAGTTCTGTTTAGTGTTTTTCATGTGAATAATCATTTTGAAATATTAAAGTTTCCTCAATACTTTTAGATTTGATATTTTGTGTAAAATGTAATATTTATTTATCTATGCTATGAGTTCTTGGTGCTAGTTTATTTTTAAACAAAACCTTAAAACCTCAGTGTTCACTACTACCATCTAAAATATTAGTCTGGTCATAGAAAGGTCTAGAATTATTTTGTTTACAACTATAAACATTAAGAATATGGGCCCCTCTTAAATATTTTAGTTATATAATTAAAGTTGGTTAGAAATGATGAAGTGGGATTGAATTGTTTAATTATATTTTTAACATACACTTTCATGTAAATTTATTTATCATTTTTATAGTAATGAACTTTTTCTTATGATATTTTTCTCCGTAATGAAATGCTATTAACTATTTATTTCTATGAATTTAGAAATAAACATAGGTGTATTTTTTCATGGTATACTTAGAAATTACTTTAGTAATTAAATAACTAAGATTGCCAATTACACTCTCATGCCTTAAAAGCACTTATTATTTAGCAATTACTAGTACTTTTTATGTTACGTAAAGAGTTTGTCAATTTTGCAATTGAATAACTTCCCATGTTATTCTTGCCCATTCATATAAAAAAATGTCTATTTTTAAAGTATTTCCTCGTAACATGGGTTGTCTGGATGATAAGAGTAATGCGGCAATTGGTGTTTTATTGGCAATATATTGAACGAACACACACAGTATATAAATAGAAATATGTTTTTAGGTATCATTAACTATCATTCAATTAATATAATTCCGACCAATTTGACGCCGTTATGTATATCTACGCCTAGTTGTGCACAATACTAGTGAAACCGGATTTTAAAGAGAATCAGCTAACTTCCAGTTCGACCTCGCGTTGAGTCATCGTTGCATTATCGCTATACACGTATTGCGAGATTCATAATTACCTATTTCGATATGTTGATAACGATTGGACATTATAATTGATCACAATTGTTTCTATATGCAAAATGGCAGTCGTATTTGCTACGAGTTTATAGAAGTTACCTGTGTTTACACGCAGAACAATATCCTGAGTGACTTATGTTTCTACGAGAACGAAATGGCGCCGACAAAAACTAGTAGCCATAATGAACCTATACCATTTATAAAAGTTTAGATGTAAATACGTTATACACACGTTCATAGGAACGTCAAGAAAAAAATTTCTCTGAATATACGTTCATTGACAGCTTGCAAATCGTAGGACAATAAGAAATGGCACAAATTTCTCCGCTGCTTTTTTAATCGACAACTATCTTTGACAAGATACTTAGTACATTTGTTTGCTAGTTTTTATCTTAAATATTTTATTTATATAATAACAAATGATAGTTGTGGATATTTTACATGACACAGAGAAATAAGAAAAAGGATCTAATTTTAGTTATTAGTAAATTGTATCGGATCTGCCAATTATGAGTCGAATTTTTATATTCGTTTCTATAAAATGACATCACTATTAATACGATACTTCATATTTACTTTAGAAGTTATAACGGCTCTAGGCTACAATTGTGATGTGAATAAATCGTTAACGTATGACAACGTAAAAATTCCATTACTGTACAGTGAACACATACAAAGTTTTCAAGGTAAAATCGATTTATGAGATACGGCAATTTTAAAGTTTAATGTCGCGATAATATGACTTACGGTTTAATGTAATTGTACTATTTATAACGTTATTAATGAACAATGTTGTAATGTTAATTATTCGATCTTTATATGATAGCTATTTTGAAGTTAAATGTAGCGAAAAATAGATTATATGATAAGGAGCTATTTATTAATTAAATACACCATGTCATATAATATATTATACGGTATAAGTTACAATCTATGTATTCTAAAATACATGACAATTACCTTGAACCGAAAATTTGCAAAAAATATACTATTAGTAATTTAATATAATAAATCTACTAATAATTATCACTTTGAAGTAGAGTTTTAATTAAATTTTTGTTTAATTTTTATTTAGTATATAAATATATTATGTAGTCTTCTCTATGATGGTTAATATTTTCTATCCGCGATGGAATATTGATGACCAGACAGAACTTCTATAGTCCAAATTAAAGGTAGCCTCTGACAAAGATAGCCAATAACTGTTTTTGTAATACAAGTTTACTAGATACAAAATTGTGCAAATAAACTTTATTATTATTATCACTAAAACTGATTTATGAGTTATGTCAAATCAGGTGTACTATGTGAGCTGCATTTTGATTATACCAACTATTGTTAATGATGTATAAAAGTTAATGGAAAAGCTGAGTAGATCTTTACTGTTTCTATTAACACGAAATTACAAACAAAACAACCTTGCGTACATGTGTTTCCGTTAGCGGAAGCTGGGTTTTATCATGTGTAATCCTCACGCGTTGATGTTTGTATAGTTTTTACAAACATGCCTACACATTAGGTTAACATGATTTAATTTTGACGGTGAATAACATAGATAATTCTATAGACTATATACAGAAGGGGGGGGGGGGGGCCGCCCCCGGGGGGGGGGGGGGGACCCCCCCCCCCCCCCCCCAAAAAAAAGGAAAAGGGGGGGGGGGGGGGGGGGGGGGGGGGGGGGGGGGGGGGGGGGGGGGGAAAGGGGGGGGGGGGGGGGGGGGGGGGGCGGGCGGGGGGGGGGGGGGGGGGGGGGGGGGGGGGGGGGGGGGGGGGGGGGGGGGGGGGGGGGGGGGGGGGGGGGGGGGGGGGGGGGGGGGGGGGGGGGGGGGCCCCCCCCCCCCCCCCCCCCCCCCCCCCGGGGGCCCCCCGGGCCCCCCCCCCCCCCCCCCCCCCCCCCCCCCCCCCCCCCCCCCCCCCCCCCCCCCCCCCGGGGGGGGGGGGGGGGGGGGGGGGGGGGGTGTTTCCTTTTTTTTTTTTCCCCCCCCCCCCCCCCCCCCCCCCCCCCCCTCTCTTTTGTTTTTTTTTTCCTCTTTTTGTTTTTTTTTTGGGGGGGGGGGGGGGGGGGGGGGGGGGGGGGGGTTGGCGCCCCCCCCCCAACCCCCCCCCCCCCCCCCCCCGCTCTTTTGGGTGGGGGGGGGGGGGGGGTCCCCCCTTTTTTTTTTTTTTGGGGGGCCGGCCCACCCCTTTTTAAAAAAATTTTTTTTTTTTTTTTTTCCCCCCCCCCCCCCCCCCCCCCCACCTCTTTTCCTTCGGGTTTTTTTTTTTTCCCCCCCGGGGGGGGTTTTTGGGGGGGGGGGGGGGGGGGGGGGGGGGGGGGGGGGGGGGTTTTTTTTTTTTTCCACGGGGGGGGATAGGGGGTTTTTTTAAAAATTGGGACAAAAAAAAAAAAAGGTTTTTAAATATTTTTTTGGGGGAAGGGAAAGGGGGGGGGGGGGGGGGGCCCGGGGGGGCAAAACAAAAAAAACTTTCTGTTTTTTTTTCTTTTCCCCCTAATAATTTTTTTTTTTTTTTTTTTTTTAAAAAAAAAAAAAATTTTTTTTGGGGGCCCAACTACGTATATTTGTTATGTTATCATATCATATTAGGTCCTTACATATGAAATTGGCGTATTTCGTACTGGCCACTTTAATCACGATGTTCTCCTCTTTGGTAAGGAATTCCAAATTCAAATTTGTACAGCTATTTACTCATGTATTTGTGTTTTGATGACCGTCATTCATTTGTTTTTTTCTGTTTGCGTCACTCATTTTACAAAATGGAAAACTTAAAGAATCGCATTATTTACGAGTACGAGTTCCGCCGTGGCACTAGTGCTGCGGAAACGACTCGAAGGGTGAATGATGTGTATGGCGGTCATGTTGCAAAAGAAAACACAGTTCGTTTTTGGTTCCAACGTTTGCGTTCTGGAAATTTCGACCTGCAGAACAAGCCCCGTGGACGGCCTGAGACCCAAGTTGATAATGAAGTATTGAAGGCTATTGCGGGTCCATCGCAAACCACGTCCGAGTTAGCTGCAGGCTGCGGTGTTATTGATAAAACTGTTTTAATTCACTTGAAGCAAATTGGGAAGATTAAAAAGCTTGAAAGATGGGTACCTCACGAATTGACTGAAGCAAACCGGCAAATGTGCGTCGACTGCTGCGTTACATTACTGAACCGGCACAATAATGAAGGTATTTTAAACCGAATCATTACCTGTGATGAAAAATGGATTCTTTACGATAATCGAAAGCGCTCAGCGCAATGGTTGGATCCTGGCCAGCCAGCCAAATCCTGCCCCAAGCGAAAATTAACCCCAAAGCTTGTAAGCGTTTGGTGGACTAGTGCCGGTATTGTTCATTGCAGTTTTCTCAAATCTGGCCAGACTATTACGGCTGATGTCTATTGTCAGCAATTGCAAACCATGATGAGAAAAGCTAGCGGCTAAACAACCTAGGCTGGTCAATCGCTCCACGCCACTGCTACTTCACGACAACGCTAGACCACACACTGCACAACAGACGGCTACCAAATTAGAAGAGCTTCAATTGGAATGTCTAAGACATCCTCCGTACTCCCCGGACCTTGCTCCAACAGATTACCATTTTTTCGAAATTTGGACAACTTCTTGCAAGGGAAAAAAATTAACTCTGATGGGGCAGTCCAAATCGCCTTCACAGATTTTATTAATTCTTGTCCGACTGGTTTTTTTAGTAAAGGGATCAATGAACTACCTATGAGATGGCAAAAGTGCATAGAAAACAATGGTTCATACTTTGATTAATTAAATATATTATATTTAAAAATATTCGACGTTTTGTTCCTCCCATACAAAACGCCAATTTCATATGTAAGGACCTAATATTTTGTATATTTTTTATTATATATATATGTGTTTGAAAAAAATCTTAGCAAATCTTAACACGAATTTATTAAATAATTTTTCTCTCGTTGTCTGATTGTTGAAAAGCACACGAAATCTCGAGTTATAATAGGATTTTTAAATTAATGCTTATATTATATTTAATAAATGAAAATATTGCGTATTTATAAAAAATAATCATGCAGACTCTGATCATTTTATTAAGCGTAAGGAAAACATAATGTCCTATATTTTTATTTATATAAGTGTCTTTGACCTGTTAGTTATCGAAACCTGTAATATCAGCTACTTAAGTCTATATAGCAGTGTTTATGTTTGATAACGCAATGTCAACTCAAATAGTAGATATTTTATTACAAAGCGTTTGAATCTAGAAACAAGCCTTTATAGGGTAGACCACTTTTAATGTATGTGCTTTTTTCAGAACTGGAGCTCGGTACGGTATGCGTGGTGGATATGGATTCGCAGCAGACGATTCTACAATACCCGCAGTCGACTCACGACAAAGAAAGGTATGAATTTTTGAATGTATCACGTAAAATATGACTTAACGTAGAATGTACTAATGTTTTTAGTCTTTTAACATTATGAGTTAACCGGTTGAGAGCTCCCCTCCCACGAGGACTACGACCTCGGCTTAGATTGCCGAACTTGAGGGAAATAACTCTTCCATCTGTCAATATTCGACCATTTGACACATGAGAGACAGAACTTGAGAATCTTGGATTAGGAGCTGTTCCGTTAAACATGTCATCTGGTGGGTAGCATCTAATGTTGATGTTCTCGACTTGCAACATAATAAATTACAGTGTTTAAAGTTTAAATTAATAACAATGTATCCGTTGTGTTCAAACTTTCATGTTCTCTAATGAATATTAACAAAGGTGACCTCACGGACAATCGTTGCCCCAGATTAAGAACACAAGATAAAGAGCAGAACACAGAAGGAACTGCCTTTATTAGCATGACGGGGTAATTAACGTCTTCCGCATATATGTAGTGCGGTATATAATAGTGGCTTTATTCTTTACCTTCGTCCTTGTAGTTAGGAACTTTTAAAACCGTTGACCTACATGAGCAATATGCGGAAAGTACCCTAACATTAAGTAATTGCACCTAGCGGTTCTTAATGTGATGAGACTGAATGGATGGCAATTTTAATTTCATACACAACTGTGAATTAGTTTGTATTAATGTAATTTGAGTTCTTGAATGTGCGACGGTCATATGTAACGTTTACCTCATTTTTTTTAGAATATGTAACGTTTTTGTAAAGATGTATAATTTTGGTTACAAAAGTATGTTTGATCTGTGCGTGTACGCAGTGACATTAAAAAGTTTGTAAAGATATAAGAAACAATTGGAATGTTTTGGTGCCTTTTTGTTAAGACATTTGTAAGCATTGTTTTGTTACAAAGGTCAAACATCAAAGTTAAAATTTAGTTAAATTTTTCAAAAATATCTTAATAAAATATCAGAATAGGCTATCGGGGTAGGGCTATGTAACAACGAGTACCATTTTCTAAAACCATCCGCGGCACGGCTATAAGATTATAAGAAAGACAATTTTTTGAATTGTTCTGTGTCAGCATTGATTATACATATTTTATTAAAGGTATCTTAAGTGGAGTAAATAAGACGCTCTGATTGTTTCACCTTGTGTTTTCGCAATGGTTAGTTCACTAATTAAACAATTTAATTGCTATTTTATTTTAATATGTTATTTATTCTATTACTGATCGGCTTGATTCTCTCTCTCTCTTTACGCAGAGACATTACGTCTCTGCGTTTTCTATAAACTGTACTACGGTGAGTGTTCTCAACAATTGTTTGGGTTGATCCCTCCCGCCTCGTTTCAACACCGTACGAGCCGTACCAATTTAAAATATCATCAACATCACCTTGATGTCTGGAAGTCTTTCGCAGTCCGTTTCACAAGACATTTTCTTTTGCGAACTAGCGAACTGTGGAATCGACTCCCGGTGGAGGTCTTCCCTGAGAGATACCACCTCCTACTATTCAAAGTTAAAGTGTACTTCTCCCTCAAAGGCCGACAACGCACCCACTAAAAATGGGTGTCTATGGGCTGCGATGACTGCCCTTTATGGGCAGTAGCCTGCCGTAGCCTGTAGGCTTTGCCACTTTTTAGACAAGATTTTTTAAACATACTAATTTTTTTAGCGAGCTAACTGAAATGTCTCATACAATTTCGGTTTTATATTTAAGATGAATGGATGTGTGCATTAATACACATTTTATATTATATTCTATTTTTTATAAATATGTAATAATATAAAAAAAATCTCATGTCAAAACTGATTAATACTGAATAGAGTGGCAAGGGGTAAACCACTTAAAGCAAACTAAACTACTTATATCTAATGTTCATACATTCGACATTACCAATCCATACTTCACGTATGCGACACCAGATTGTACATAATATATTCTGGACACATCTATTGGCCCACCTTGCATTTCCAGTTTCTTTTGGTCCTACCTAAAAATTTATATTAGGTCGAGTAAAAAGTTTTATGCAGTTTTGAACCTGATACATTTTACCATCTTTTTCGATCGTATTGTTTTAAATTTGAATTTAGAATACCACACCACATGGAGATACGCCTAACAAGTCGGGTATGCGCCTTGATGAAGTCATTGATTTTTGAATAAAAAACGTGTTTTATCAAATAAAGGTTTAATTTAATGACGCGTGTTGCCTCCATGGGCATCTACGACAGCTCTCATACGATTAGGCATAGAGTTTATCAACCGCTCTATGAAATTTTGAGGGATCATCTCCCATTCCTCTTCTATGGCAGTTTTCAATTCCTGCATCGTCTGGGCAACTGGCTGACGAGCCCTAACACGTCTTTTTAGCTCATCCCACATGTGCTCAATGGGGTTCATATCTGGGCTTCTGGCTGGCCAGTGCATAACTGCGATGTTCACATCCCGAAGATATTCTCTGACGATGCCGGCCGTATGGGCTCTTACATTATCATGCATAAAAACTAAATTTGGGCCCACATAGTCCGCGTATGGCATCACGTGAGGTTCTAAGCACTCTAGAATGTACCTTTCAGCATTTAATGTTGGCAGCCGTGGTCCCGTAACAACCTCAAGTTGAGTTTTGCCGCTCGCGGATATACCGCCCCAGACAGTCCATGAGCCACCGCCATAAGCAACCCTCTCTTCAAAGCAGCATTGTGCAAAACGCTCTCCCTTACGTCGGTAGACCTTCTTCCTTCCATCATTGCCATGTAACGCAATTTTAGACTCATCAGAAAAGAGTACACCGTTCCAATGCTGCTGAGTCCAATTTAAGTGTGAGCGCGCGAAATGAAGGCGCGCTATTCGGTGGGCTCGCGTTAGTTTTGGTCCATTAGCTGGCTTGTGTATAACCATATCGCGTTCTTTTAATCTTCTACGAACATTTCGAGCGCTCACATTTACTCCATGGAAGTCGCGAAGTTGGTTTCGTATCTCAATGGAGGTAAGGTGACGATTTCTCAAGCTGGTCGTCACGATGAATCGATCCTGCCTTTCAGTTGTGACCCGAAATCGTGGCCTTCCTTGGCGACGAACAAAACCGCCAGTCTCTAGGTATCTCCGATAAATGTTTCGGACCGCAGATCGACTTAAATTAAGTTGATCACTCACATTTCTTTGGCTGTGTCCGGCCCGGATGTGCCACAGCTTGGGCGGCGACTTCAGGCGAAGTATCCATAGATTATTGATAGAACCTCATCTTAATGTTAAGAATAAGTAATGTTTGTTGCAAAACCAAAGAGAAAAATCACACTTTCAAGAATTAAATCCAACTAAACCAATAAAATCAAGTTTTCTTAGTATTCGATTGTTTGATATCAATGAGCAGGCTCCAAATTGTGTTTTGTTTCTTTAAATTCTGTGTTCGAAATTAAAAAAAAAAGAATTGAATGCAATTATGAATGTACCAGGTTCAAAACTGCATAAAAACTTTTTACTCGACCTAATATAAATTTTTAGGTAGGACCATAAGAAACTGAAAATGCAAGGTGGGCCAATAGATGTGTCCAGAAGTGTATATTATGCGAGTTAATTCGGTATTTGTTATGGGTTACAACTTTAGTTTAAAGTATGTATTAGATAAGAGAGACCAACTAAGCTCACGCTACCAGAAAAGTGTGCGTCAATTTCTAAATATTTTTCCAGACCAATAATTTTATTAATTTAAAGTTAAAGTTTATTATAATTCTCTAAATTTTGGTTACGGAACTATACTAACATTTGTGGTTTGACAATTAAATATGGCTTGTTAGAAATTACATCAGTAACAACTGCTTTTAGTCACGTTTCGTAAGAAGTTTTGTAATACTGGTTATTTTGTACCAAATTGCAATAGTAAATTTATCGCTCTCTCTTGTATCTTTGTTAGATAAATAAAAATCTAAATAAAAAACAAATTATACTTGCCCTTATGGTTTATAGATGAAGTTGTATATAAAAGGTTAACGTTTATCAATATTAACTTACAAAACATATACATTATATATATAACCTCTAACAATATGATGTTGAAGTATTATAAAGTATTGAAAAAATATATGAATATGTGTAATTTATATTCATCAGAAACAAATTCACAATCATTATATCCATATCAATTGAAGTCCACATATGATTGAATTACCAAAATCCATTTAACATCAGTGCAATTGAAATTGTGAGATGAATTCATATAAACTCAAAAAAAAAAAAAAAGGGTGCGTGTACTTATGTACGCGCGTAAGAAGTTATACTTCTTTGGCATTATTAGAAATAGATTTTGATTGCATGCAAATAATTAATTACAATTAAATAATCAAAGACTGGAAAAGGAGTCATTATAGTCAATAAAGTTCAGTTTACATTTGAAAAATTTAATAAATAAATATTTATAATTATTCTCTTACAAAATAAAAAAAATTTTATAATTCATATTATAAAATTTTTAACACATTTATATTAATATAATTATATAAATGTGTTAATAATATAATTTGTAGCACATGCTACAGACCTGGATAGCAACTTTCTTTTATTCTATTTAGAGATAGAGATAATGTAAATATAATACCGGTGTCTTCCTTGTAGGTTTCTTTTGAGTTGTTTGGGGATTCTTGTTGATCAGTTCGACATGATTTTCTTTAACCTTTCTTTAATCCTACAAAATAATGAAATTGTTAAGTTATGTTGTCACTGTTGTGCACACCTTTGTTTGGCTTTTTTAGTATTCAAGTTATGTCAAAACTGATTTATTACCTTGTCATTGTTGGCTTTATTTGCTTTTGGGATAGCAATTGTTTCCAAAATGATTTTATTTGTAATATCCTGAAATATATAAATAACATCTATTAATTTAAGTGTCATGGTGAGTGGTTCGCACTCAGGTATTAAGGTGTATTATACCCACTGTCCATTATAAGTGGGAATGGGCTCACTTCTGGCTGGACAGAGTTTCGGTACTACAAGAGCAAATGTTTTGAGCCTATGCTTGAGAGGTTGAGCCTTGAACATCACCATCATATTTATAATTAACATTCCTACCTCGACATCATCACAATCAAATTCATTGAAATCTACTTCAAACCGTTGCGGTATCATCTCTGCCATATCCATTGTGTCTGGAGAAGGTGATGGTGGCTTTGTTCCACCTCTTGTTTTTGATGTTTCACGGCGATAAGATGACAACTCTTTTTTTTTATTCAATTTAGTGCACTTCCACTGAAATTGTTTTTGTCTCTTGTCCTTATATTTGCTAGATTAAATCTGAAAAATTACATGTTTTGATTAAATAATGTAATCATTTTTTTGAGATGCAGGTACTTATTAAAATGTTTACTTCTCTGTAATATCGCTCCAAGCCTTCATTTTCTCCTTATTAGTATTCGTGCTTAAATCTTTGTTCTCAATTATTGATATATAGGGTCGTAGAATATTTCTAAAAAGTTG